TCCCGGTCACTGGCACCCCTGGGATTTCCTCGCCCTGAACATTTTCAGGCCTCAGCCCACTCAGGGGCTGCTGTCTGGGGCGGAGCCGGGGAGGATTCGCTTTTTTCTCCTCTGCCTGAGTGATCCTTTGACTTGGAATCAGCTCTCGAACTTCCTTGCTCGGTAAGAACTATCGGAGATCTTGCTGCTGTGCGCAGGTCCCGCCTCACATCCAGGACCCTTTACGTTTTACTGATCAGTAACTGGGCTCTGATTTCACCAAGTCCTGACCTCCCCAGGGGAACTCACGGGGGCTGGATGTGGGCTGAGCCTTGGGACCACGGAGTCAGACCCGGTTAGATCCAGGTCCCAGCCCTGAGCGTCAGTGTTTCCACCTGCGAGTTGGCAGACCCTCCCCTGTGGGCCCTACACCGCGGTTGGGAGGCTCCTGCCTGTTCTGCCTTCCTTTCACCCCCACAGAGGTTTGATTTTGCCCCTACTCCCCACCTCCATCTCCTCCCTGGCAGATCCCCGCAGCAGGGCTCAGCTGCTCTGGGCTTTTCTCAGTCTGTCTGGGGTGAAGGATCAGAAGCCTGCTGTGATTTTATCAGCGGAGGAAGGCACACGACAGACTGGGCACGCTGAGCAGCTCAGGCGAGTCTGAACTCTGCATTTATCACTCTTCTGCCTGGGCCCGGGCACGGCAGGGCTCTGTACACGGAGCAGCCTGGAGCCTGGGAGAGGCGGGGCGAGGTGGGCCGCGGTAGGGCCCAGGGCTTAAGTCTGAGCTCCCTGGACTCGAGGTTTTGGGGCCCCGCTGGAGGGGGCCGTACCCCAGCCTCTGCAGCCTGCTCCCCGCCCATCCTCCTTCCTCTCCTCCTCCTGCACCCCCAGCCCACAGCCCCACCACATCCTGCTCTGTCTGACTGCACCCCTGCCCCTCCCCGGGAAAAGAGAAGAACGTGCCCCAGCAGGCCCCCTCGAGGGGCCCGTCCCCCAGCCTCTGCAGCCTGCTCCCCGCCCATCCTCCTTCCTCTCCTCCTCCTGCACCCCCAGCCCACAGCCCCACCACATCCTGCTCTGTCTGACTGCACCCCTGCCCCTCCCCGGGAAAAGAGAAGAACGTGCCCCAGCTGTCTCTATGGCCTCCCCAGCTGCAGCCCCGGAGATGCACCGGGCGCCACGGGGAGGGGCCAGGTCCAGGGCTGCAGCCCAAGCTCCGGGGGCCCCTGGAGGGGGTTTTGGGAGCGCTGCCCGGCTCGGGCCGCCTCTGGCCACCAGACCTGGGAGAGAGCCCAGTTCTGAGGCTGGTCCCACCCCGGAGAGCTCCCCGCACCCGGCCCGTAGGAAACCCGATTCCAGAGCACGGTCTCCTCGGCCTCACTCCTGGCAGCCGGGCAACCTCCTGCCTCCACTGCTGGGTCGAGGACTGCAGACAGGCATGTGCGTGTGCGTGCGTGTGCGTGCGTGCGTGCGCGTGCACCCAGAGCTCAGGTCCCACCAGGCGCGTGGCCCGGCCCTATCCCGCCTAGAGGGGAGCCCGCACGAGTCCGTGTCACCAAGGGAACGGGGCTGCGGCACGGGGTGGGGGCTTTGGCTACGGGCTGAGAGACAGCTCCAGTGACAGGTCAGAAGCTGGGTCACCGGACCGGGGGTTCTGCTCCCTGCCACACGTGTGCGTGGAGGTGCAAAGCCAGGTCCGTGCATCCTGCGGCTGTTTGCTTTTCCTCCCTCAGGGCTCAGGAGGTCTGGTTTCTGGGCTGGATGCTGTGGGCCTGGGTGGGGAGGTGCTGCTGAGTGACGCCCCGCGCTTTGGTCTAAAGGAGTAGGGGAGCTCAGAGCACACCCCTGAGGATGTCATCTCCAAGGTCACCGCAGGTGGAGGGGCCGCCCCGCCCTGATGGAGGGCGAAGGGTTTGTCCCCAGGCCTGCTTCCTTCACACAGGCCCTGGCTGGCTGGAGGGCGGCTGCAGGCCCCAGCTCCCTGCGGCAGGAAACCTCACCTGGAAAGCGACGAGCAGAGCCACCACCAGCAGGCTTTTCATTGGTTTCCCTGGAGGAGATGAGAGGGGAGGTTATTGTTGGGCAGGGACAGCGCCATTACTGAGAGAGAGAGAGAGCGCGAGAGAGCGCCCCGGGGTGGGTGAAGGGCCGCTGTTGGGAACCCTCATCCCCAGCTCCAGGATGCCCCAGAAAGGGAACGTCAGAAGCAGACTGTGCCTCTAACACCTGGCCTGGCCCATGGGTGCTGCCCCTGGAGTTGGGGGGCTGCCCTAGCCAGTCCCCCAAGACTGTGAGGCCCGACTCACGGGCCTGCTGCCCCACCACTCCCGCGGGACCCAGGGGCTGGGAGTTGCCGAGAAGACTGGACCGCTGGCCTTTCCACAATGCGGGGGTGCTTTGGGGATCCTCCCTCCACCTCAGGACCGGCTCCTCTCACCCAGCGCAGGCGCAGGATGGAGGCGGCACCTGGGACTGAAAGGGTGTGGGGTTCCTGGGTTGTGCTTCCTCAGGTGGCCCGAGGGACACGGAGGGGACACTGTCCTGGGCACTCTCCCCTGTACAGCCACAGGCATCTGTGGCTGAGCCTCAAGGACGCTGAGGGGCACTCACGTAGGGGTCTGGGAAGCCCCTCCCCGGGTGAGCTGTGTGACTGTCTTGTGGCCTCTGCCTGTCTCCTGACCTTCAGGTCCCAGCCGGCCCTGGCCCCCGGGGGTGTCAGTCTCTGCACCACCACGCATGAGTGCCAGGCAGGACCTGCCGGATGTCCCGGCCGCTGGAAGTGGGGGAGCCCCATGCCCCGCTCCTGGCCCTCTGGAGACTGGGAAGCCCTGAAGTCTCTGTCCTTGGCCACAGCGCCACCTGCCGGAGCCCTGGGCGCATGACACCCAGGTTGCCTGACGTTCAGGCGCGGGTGGGAGGCTGGGACTGCGGGCCTGGAGGGTAGGGGAGGCCGGAAGGGTGTCAGACCCCCTCGGTAGCACCTCTAGCAGATTATCCTGCGTGCCACTGCCAGAGACGCCAACCTCAGGCACCTTCTCCCCAAACCCACAGGGCTCTGCCCGGCAGGAAGGATGAACCCCCCGCCATGATTCAGCCCCCGTGCCTACTTCGTCTCCGTTTCTGGGCACGGGCACCCTGTCCCTGTCCCCGGCTGCACATCTTCTGGAAAGCACACTGCCTTCAGAGTCCAGTACACACTCAGCCCCTGACTCCTCCCGCTGTTCAGGTTCGAGGTTTCTTTCAGTTCATCACAGCCTTTCCCTTACCCTAGAGAAAGCCCGCTCTGACTGTCAGGGAGGGGAGATCTCAAAGTGAGGGTCCGTTTCAGTAGATGAGGCACAAAGAGCAGGAGCTGTTTCTGTTTGACTCGGTGCACCCTGCTCCTGCTGGTACCGCGGGGGCTCGCGCGCGTGTGTATGTGCGTGTGTGTGTGTGTGTGTGTGTGTGTGTGTGTGATTTCTCATTCCTGGTGACAGGACTTGGTGATGTGCCGGGCTTTGGAGGCCCAGGGCAGCCCATTTTTGAGAAAGCTACCAGGGGAATTTAGGGAAATTCTGGTGGCCATGGGTGTGAGTCAGATCATTCCTGTCTGTTACAAAGTCATAAAGCAACCAACCCGGGGCAGTGGCCGGCTGGGAGGCAGGATATTGGGAATCTGAGGGTTTAAGGAGCGGTTGACCTAGATGCTGGGTGCTTTCTGAGTTCTTGAGTTTTCAGCAATGATCGTCATGAAAAGAAAATTCCCCCGACTCCTGCCTGACCCCCCAGCCTGAGAAACCTCCCAGCAGGAAGCAGGGGTTTGTGGCTGGCTGCCCCAGCCTCTTTTCCTTTTTGAGATAGGCTCTCCTTAGGTCTCTAAGTTGCCTGGGCTGGGCTTGCAGTTTAGATCTTCCTGCCTCAGCCTCCCAGAATGCTGGGATCACGGGCGTGTCCCAGCCTGGCCAGCTTCATGCCTTTCTTACCCAAGCAGCCTTGCTCTTTTGAGGGCAGGGACAGGAGACGGGTGGTGCCAACCTGGAGGTGCCGGTGCTTTGTCCGGAGATGGAGTTGTACAAACCAAGCCCTCCGGGCCACACCACCTACCTGGGGGACCCCTTTCCTTCTCACAGAGACCCTCAGAGCGGGCACTACAATGCCAACGCCAGTGGGGAAACTGAGTCACAGCCAGGTTAATGGCTTTCCCAGGGTCACCCAACTCTGGAAACTACATCCTCCTGTTCCTGGTGCCCAGATATTTGTGGGTCTCTGGCTCCTGACATCTTGTGGTTCTTGTGCTATGTTCCAGACCTCAGGGACCCAGAGAGGTGAAGTCACTTGCCAGGGGTCACACAGCTGCCAGCGATGGATCTGAGACCCTCCGCACCCTTCAAAACCAACTTCAATGCCCCTAATCTGTGTTGACAGTTCTCTTCTTGTCCCGCTTTTAGGCCTGGCAGCTTTTTGACACACCTGTCTCTCTCGTCCTCCCCAAATTCCCCAATCAGCGGCAGAGTGGCCAAAAGAAAGTAGAAGGGAAGAGGAGGCTGTGGCCGTAGTGAGACACCAGTCTCGAGAGCTTGTCTGCGTTTTCTCTGCTCTTAAGGTGTCCAAGGCCCCTCAGGCTGCTCATTCAAACCGGGAAAAAGAAAAAAAGCAGCCCAGCCTGGGTCGAGCTCTCATTTTGTGTAATAGAAACTCTGGTTTCTCATTCCCCTTGTACTCCCTGCTGGGGGGAAAACAGTCTTCGCTTGTGGTCCACCCACCTTCCCAACGGCCCAGCGCAGGGGCTCTGGAGTTGAACTTGAGGCGAGAGCATCCCTTCCTGCAGGCTGGATGGAGCCCTGCCCCTGTACATCAAGCACCCCCAGACTTAGTCCTGGGGAACAGCCGGTGGGGTTGAAGCCAGCGGCCCTTCCTACTGTGTTAAGCCATGTGGACAGAAGGAGGCTGGAGCAGGCAGGTCTCCGTGGGTCGTGTGCTGCCCTGGGCACAAGGTGGATAGCTGGGGAGTGACCTTATGGAGCAGCTTGCCTGGGAGAGGTTGAGATTTTTTTTTTTTATGGTGTTGGGGACTGAACCCAGGAACGTGGCCCTGAGCTACATCCAGCCCTTATTTTATTTTCTATTCTAAGAAAGGGCCGTGCTATATTGCCCAGGATGGGCTTGAACTTGGGATCCTCCTGCCTCAGCCCCTCAGAGTGCTGGGATCACAGGGAGCACCACCACGCCCATCCGGAAGAGATTTCCCAAAACTAAAGTGGACGAAGGCTGCCTGACACCGTTCACTCGTTCAGTCCGCTCTCAAGCCCCAGTGCAGGGCAGGACACAGAGATGGGGGAGATGCTGCCTTCCAGGACTTGCGACCAGGGCCCAGGGGGCGGGGAAGGCAGAGCGGAGGGTGAGAGCGAGGGCTGTGGTGTGGGAGGACAGCGCGGGAACCTTCACTTTTAAAGCCAGCCGCTTGTGGCTTTGAGGCCGCGCTGACTGGCGGAGCCCTCCAGGAACCCGGCCTCGCCTGGCCGGGTCTGATCTGCAGCTGAGATTGGCAGCTGGGGCTCGGGAGATGGAGGACTCGGTCTGCACCCCTTCTGCACCCCTCAAAGCAGCTGTTGTCAAAGCCCTGGTTCCACCAGGGGCCTGGCCAGGGCATCTCCACTGCCGCGTCTGCCTGGCTGTGCCCTGGGCTTACAAGAGGGCGACTGCAAAGTAGGTGTCGGGGAGCACGAGGTGGCTGGCATTTGCGTGGCTGGCACCTACCCCCCGGTGTGGGCGCCTTCCACTTTCCCCCTCAAAGCCCACCCAGCCGGGCAGCTTGGAGGTCATTCCCTTCCCCTGATGTTGGTGCCCGGAGTCCTGGGGGCCTCACCCATCACCCCAAGCGGAGAACGAGTTCCTCCGGGCCACCCAGCCTGGCCCTGCTTGTCTGCCACCTCCTGCTGTTTCAGAATGACCCCCCTCGGCCCCCTGTCCTGGGCACGGATGACCCCTGCCCCTCCCCAGATGCCACCCTCCCTGGATGGCAGCGTGGCACTGGAGACAGACACCCTCTACCCAGGTTGGCCCGGCGCCCCCGGCCCCACGCTGTTCCTTCTCACTCACCGGGGCCCATGACACTGTTGACTGCTGTCACCACACAGGAAGGCTGTGCCCGCATCCCCGGCTCCCCTGTCTGGGGAGGAAGTGGCCCTGAGCCCCTTTTAAGATGCGCCGTTAGCCACCCTCGCCTACCCCTCCCACCCTGCTCCACCCCTCCGAGCCTGCACCTCGCGCGGAAGGCACAGGGCTATGAGAAAGTGACAGAGTGACAGCCCCACCCGCTGGTCATAGGATTGTGAATCACCCGTTCATTTACATTCGAAAACCCCCAGAATCTAGGTGAGGGGCTGCCCAGAACTGTGTCCCATCGCTCTGAGTTTCACGGTCAGCTGAGCTTATAGCCACTGTCCCAGCAGCCACCGGAGGCCAGACGAAGACAGCGCCGGACCAGGGCCACCGGTCACCCAGGAGTGGTCCCCCAGGACGCCCGCCCCAGGGCATCCATAGCACAGCCCCAAAGTGAAAGTTGAAGAGTCTGTATTTACAGGTCCTGGAGCCCGGGGAGGGGCACAGCGGCCCTTCCCACTGATGGGCGCCAGTGGGTACGGGCCTTATCCATACTGGTTGCCCACAGGGATCTTTCATTGGTGGGGTGATTTGTGATTTTTTGTGCGTGTGTTTTGAGCCAGGGTCTCGCTACATAGTTCTGGCTGGCCTCAGACTTGTGACAATCCTCCCGCCTCAGCCTTGCCTGTGCTGGGATGACAGGTGTGTGCCGCCGTGTCCGGCTGCCTCTGACTTTCTCTCTTTGCTCAGCAGCGGGAGCCGCTCCAGTGGAGGATGGTATCGGAGGCAGGGGACTTTGCTTTCTGGTACAAGAAAGTCCAACAGCTAGGAAAATGGTTGCCATGGAAACCAAAAAAATTCTAAGCACTGGCTATAGCTTTGTCCTGCTTGGTGTCACCGAAAACCATGCTTTCTAAACTCCTTTCCCTCCAGCTTCTGGTGGGTCTGGCCGCTGGATGGGGCTGACAGATGAAGGTAGAGAGGAAGGGAGATACAGGGATGGATCTTTTCCCATGGCATTTCCTTTCCTTTTTAAAATGGCAGCTTTGCGCACTATAATTCCCAGGCTATAAAATGCACCCTTTTAAAGTGTGGAGTTCAGCGATGTCTGTTTATTCACGGGATCGTCCCACCACCACTGCAACCAATCTTAGAACATTTTAAATCATCCCGCCTGACAATGCGGTAATCATTAACAGTAGCCTCCGTTTCTTCTGCCCACAGCCCCTGTAAACCACAGATCTGCTTTCAGTTTCTACAGATTTGCCTAGATGGGAGCTGTCTTATAAATAGAAGGAGCCAGCAGGTGGCCATTGCCCGTGTTTCTTTCAATCCGAATGTTTTCAAGATTCACTCACTGAGTCATAAGGGTCAGCTCTCCATTCTTTGCATGGCTGAGTAGTATTCCATTGTGTGGACATACCACATCTTGTTTATTCTATATTGAATGGATGTTTGAATTGTTTCTGTTTTTTTTTTTAGCTATTATGAATAATACCATGTTTGTGTATAAGTTTTTATGTGGACCTATGCTTTTATTTCTCTTAGACATATACCTAGGAGTGGTGTTGTTGTGTCATAGGGTTGCTGTAAGCTTGACTTTTCTAATTTTGGTTTTTTGAGATAGAGTTTCGAACTCACTACGTAGCCCAGGCTGGCCTCCAACTCACGGAGATCCTCCTGCCTCAGGCTCCTGAGAGCTGGGATTATAGGCGTGTGCTACCATGCTCAGCTGTATGCTTAATTTTTGGAGGAACTTTTAAAGTATTTTCCAGAGTGGCTGCACCATTTTCTACTTCCATCAGCTGTGTATGAGGGTCCCCCCATATTCAACAAAACTTGGCACTGGACAGCGATCCTTCGATTCTGCCTATTCAAGGGGGATGAAATGTTATCTCATGGTGGTGTTTTTTTTTTGTTTTTTGTTTTTTGGGTTTTTGAGACAGAGTCTCACTATGTAGTTAAGACTGAACTGGAACTCACTAGGTAGCTCAGGCTGGTCTTGAACGCACAGCGATCCTCCTGCCTCAGCCTCCCGAGTGCTGGGATTACAGGTGTGTGCCATCGTGCCCGGCTTCATTGTGGTTTTGATACACGTTTTCTTTTTTTTTTTTTTTTAAGGTGAATTTCTTCTTCAACTTTTTATTGTAGAGAATTTAAAATATACAGAAATGATGCGCAACTAGAACAAGGAACATCCATTTAATCACTTCCTAGATTCACTAAGTATTAAGGTCTGACTTCCTTCCTCCCTTCTTTATATCAGAGTAAATTGTCACATCACAACACTTCATCTCTGAACAGTTGTCTGTTATCTTAAAATTAAGAATATTCTTCATAATCACAAAGTCAGGATCACATATAAAGAAAATAATTTCCTAACACCATCCACTATGCTGTATTGAACTATTTTAATCAATAAATGTGATTAGGAAGTGGCACTGTCTGCCTGAGATGTCACTAACAGAAGGTAATAAAACCTATTGCAATTGAGGCTATGATGGGAAGAAATAAAATTGCTTTGTGCTTGTTGATTCATATTTCTAAGTGATTACTGTTGTTGGGCACATTTTCATGTGCTTCTTTTTTTTAAAAAAATGGTAGCTTTAATTTTTTTTTCAGCTTTAATTGAGTTTATTGGTACATTTTAGGGATACAGTACAGTTACATTCATTGTTGGGATTTCATGTGCTTCTTGACAAGTTATATATTTTCTCGAGAGAAATTTTTATTTGAATTCTTCACCTATTTAAAAATCGGGTCATTTATGTTTTGTTGTTCAGTTGTAAGAATTCTTTACATATTTTATGAATATAAGATGAATATTTATATAATATATCAGATGTATACTTAGAAGTACTTTCAGTCTCTGGATTCTCTTTAGTTTCTTGTTCGTGTCTTATGGAGGACAATGTTTTAAAATTTGAGGTATGTCGGGCATGATGGCGTACGCCTGTCATCCCAGCACTCGGGAGGCTGAGGCAGGAGGATCGCTGTGAGTTCAAGACCAGCCTGGGCTACATAGTGAGTTCCAGGTCAGTCTCAACTACATAGTGAGACCCTATCTGAAAAAAAAAATTTGAGGTCCAATTTGTCATCTGGGCATTTGGTATGACATCTAAGAAAGTCCACATGGATTTATTCTTATATTTTCTCCTTAGAATTGTATAGTTTTAGCTCTTACATTTAGTTTTGATCCATCTTGAGCTGTTTTATATATGCTGTGAGGTAGGGGCCCACCTTCATTCAAGTTTCAAATTGCTTGTTGCTAGTGTATAGAAATATGATCAATTTTTGTACATTTATCTTGTAACTTGGTGAACTCATTGATTGTGTGTGTGTGTTTATGCTGTTCAGGATTTTGTGAGTATAACATCATGCCACTTGTGAAGAGAAATAGTATTTCTTCCTTTCCAAGTTGGTATCTTTTGTTTCTTTTTCTTGCCTAATACCCTAGCTAAAGCATCCAATGCAACACTGCCTAGAATTGGCAAGAGTCACTGGTACTATTTCTGATATTAAGGTAAAAAACAGTTGGTCTTTTATCTGTATGTTTTTAGCTGTGAGTTTATCATAGGTGATCATTTTCACGTTCCCTTCTATTTTCAGGTTGTTGGATTTGGTCAAATGCTCATTCTGTGTCCATTGAGATAGTTTTTCAACTTTTATTATATCAATTATGTTGTATTACATGAATTTTATATTTATATCTTGGACCAGCCTTGAATTCCTGGGATAAATTGTTTGGTTGTGGTATATAATATTTTAAAAATATGTTTCTGGATTTGGTTGATGAATTATGTACATATTTTTATAAGGATTAGTGATCTTTTTAATTTTAACTTTTCTTGTAATATCTTTGTGTTATTTTGGTAGCTGGGAAAAACTGGTTAAATGTCAATTTTCTTAAGCTTACTAAAATATTATCTTTTAGTTTTCTTAATTTTCTCTATTTTGAAATTCTATATTTAAAAATTTCACTTTAGTTCTTATTATTTTCTTTTTTTTCTGTTTGATTTGGGTTTAGTTCACTTTTTTCCTTAAGTAGAAAGGTAGAAAGGTTAAGTTCTCTATTGGATATGTTTCTTCTTTTTAAAAATGTTGGTGTTTATTGGTAGTAATTTCTCTACAAGCCCTGTTTTAGCTGCATCCTATAAGTATCAGTCTATTGTGTTTGCATTTTCAGTCATCTCAGTGTCTTTTGTAATTTCACCTCTGAGTTCTTTCCTGATCCATTAATTATTTAGAAGTGTGTAGTTTAATCTCCATGTGTTTGCAAATTCTTTAAATTTGCTTCTGTCGCTACTTGTGATCAGAAAATATACTTTATTCCCTATTCTTTTAAATTGATTGAGATTTGTTCTGTCTTACAGTCTGCTCTACTATGGAGAGCATCCCCTGTGCATCTGAACAGAATGTGTATTCTGTGTTGTAAGGGGAGTGTTCCACAGATAGCTGTTAGGTCCAGTTGGCTCATAGTATTGTTAACATCTTCAATTTCCCTGCTGATCTATTGCTTAATAGCTGCATCTTTTGTTTTTGTTTTTGTTTTTTTTGAGACAGGGTCTTGCTATGTAGTTGAGACTGACCTGGAACTCACTATGTAGCCCAGGCTGATCTCAAATTCACAGCAATCCTCCTGCCTCAGCCTCCCGAGTGCTGGGATGACAGGTGTGTGTCACCATGCCTGCCTTTTTTAGCTGCATCTTTTATTAGAAGTAAGGCATTGAAGTCTCTAACTATGTATTTTGGGGCCCTGGAGTGCGGCTGTGTACACGTCTATAGTTATCATGTCTTCCTGTGGATTGAGCCTCTTATTATTATAAAATAGCCTTCTTTGTCTCCACAAGCAATTTTTGTCTTTCAGTCCACATTGTTTATCAGGCTAGCTGTGCCAGCTCCATCTTGGGTACTTTTTGGGAGCTATGTTTTTTCCCATCACGAGCATATTTCTTCCACCCATAGGCTCCCAGTAGCATCCATCCCAGCAGTGGGCATGCATGTTGGGCCCACCAGCCAGCCCTAGCCTTGGTGCCCAGAGGTCTGCAGGAGCCTTCCCCCTTTGTGCCTGCAGCTCCCACCCCAGGCTCAGGGCTGTGGTAGCAGTACCGTGTCCCCCAGCTGTAAGGATGGTGGCAACTTCCTGCTGTCTTCTTCTCTAGGTGGCCTTGCCATCTTTTGCTTGGCCTCTGATTCTTTAAGATCACAGCTATAAGTGGCCCTTATGTTAGATCCCTTCTTTGTTTAGAGTACGGAGTGGTTTGCTTTGAGCCTAACTGATGCAAGGTGATTCTGTTTCCAAGGAGCTTGTGTTCTAGAAGAAGTTCAGGTTAGATTACACCACTGTTGTCTGAAGCTATGACCAAGGACAAGCGTGACAGGAGGCCACATCTCTAGCAAAGGAAGGACACAGGATGGCGCAGGGCCGGTAGGGAGGCAAGCAAGCAGGTAGCAGAGCTTTTCCTTTCCCTAAACTCATGAAGAGTGTTCGGGTGGGGTTCATGCAGTGTGCCGAGCTCCTCACTGGCTCCTGGGTGATCGTGGGAGAGTGGAGAAGTGTTCTCAAGGGCAAAGGCACCCAGCTTTGGGCTCCCCGGGATGCAAGCCTGGGGCCTTTCCCCGGCACCCTGCCCAGCGCCTAGCCGTTCTCCACTGGTCTCGGCTCCCCGGGGGGAGACGTGCGGAGCCCTCACCAAACTGTCCGGTCAGCCTGGAGCTTTCAGCTGTCCTCATCTCCTGCTCTTGGAAGCCCGGTGACCCCGCATACATCAGCAGTCTCTTGAACTAGGTGGAAGGGATGCTAAGAGCTCACACATTGGCAAGCATGTTGATTAGGAAGGTCAGGGCAACAGCAGTGTGGAACTATTCCAGAAGCTTCTTCCAGACGCTGCCAAGAAAAAATGAGCTTAAAGCCGTAAGACCTGGGTTCCAGGCCCGTCTTCTGTCTTCAGGTCACCTTGCAAGTTGCTTCCTATGTTGTGGTTCTTGCCCACCTGAAAAGCAGAGGGATAGGATGGCACACGCTTCCAGCTGCTCTTTTGGGATCATCTGTGTCAGTCACAAAAGCCTTCCCGGTTCCCTAGCGCCGGGCTCGGGTCAGGAGAGCCTGCAACCAGGCCGGGTGAGTTTCGTGCAGATGCACCCCGGTGCCGGGGACCCTGGGACCTCCCGGGTCCTTCCCGGCCCCTCCGGCCCCAGCTGTGTGGACGCTGTG